TTACGAGGAAATGTTTTCCACGGCTTTACGAGGAAATCTTTCCTCGTAAATTAGCTAGGCCTTTACGAGGAAAATAGCCTTTACGATGAACGTCTTTCGACGAAACACGTTTCCTCGCTATTTCCTAGTAAAGGGCCCTTTACTAGGAAATAACGAGGAAAACCCGTCCTAGTAAAGGACGTGTTTTCTTGTAGTGTATAACTAAGGTAATTCTGATCCTTTCACCAAGTTATAGATTATTCGATTACTTTATATTTTTGCATCATGATTGGTGGATCATTATATACTTTTATGAAATATATCTAAGATACTGACTTCTAACAGTTAATGATTAGAAAATCATGTATTTATATACAAGACAATAATACAAGGAAAACGTTGTATTGCCAAACTAAGATTTTATAACATACACATATCTTCAGAATTTTATTATCTATCTATAACATTAACAACAAACTGAATAGTTACAAGCTTACTGTTACAAAAATAAAAAGTAGATTACCAACTATACAAATCGATTTCATAATAATGTCACCCATACTAAAACATGTATATATAACACACACAACTCCTGTACCAAATTGTCTAACAAAGCAAAACAACAAAAACCCTGACATAAAAGAAAACTATGATGTCGAAGAAGAAAGAAACCATGGGACGACAGAGAATCCCAATGGTTAGGATTAAGAAAGAAACCCACCGTCAAGTCACATTCTCAAAACGTAGAGCCGGTCTATTCAAGAAAGCCAGCGAGCTTTGCACATTGTGCGGCGCAGAGATTGGGATCATCGTGTATTCTCCAGCCAAGAAGCCTTTCTCTTTCGGCCATCCCAGCGTCGAATCCGTATTGGACCGTTATTTGTCCCGAAACAATATGTCCGTAGCGCAGACTTCGCAGCAATCGCAGGGAAACACTGCAGCGAGCTGTGAGCTGAATATGGAGTTGACGCAGATCGTGGGGCAGCTAGAGGAAGAGAAGAAGAAGGGTCAAGCGATGGCAGAGATGAGAAAAGCGAATGCGGTTAGGCGGTCGATGATAAATTGGTGGGAAGGGCCAGTGGAGGAGATGAATATGGTTCAGTTACAGGAAATGAAATTTGCGTTAGAGGAGTTGAGGAAGATTGTTGTGTCAGAGACACATACGGCTCCGTTTAAGGATGTGAAAGAGGATGTGTTCGGTTTCTTTGATAATAATAAAGTGACGGTTCCTTCTTACATGAACACGTCTTCTGGTTTTTCTAATGTTTACAATGGTTGTTTCTAGCTAGTATCTTGCTAGCTTGTTTTTTTTTATTTCGATTGCTTTTTTGTTTCTTTGGCAGCATAGAAAAATATTAATGTTATCCGGTTAAGGTACTTTAATGGTCGATTATATGCTATAACAGACATATAGCTTAAACTTATTAATATTCTTAAAAGTAACGGATCAATCAAGTTTCCGCCGCAGTGCTAAGGTTTAAGGTGAGCTACGACCAGTTCATAACAAAAAACGATGATGTTTATTTATTTTTGTATATTGATGCAACATTGACATTTAGTAGTATACGTATATGATGTTCTGGAAATAATTTACTACATATTTATTATTCATCCCCGAGAATATATAGATCTTAAAAGTAGTAAATTTAGATAATTGGCTTTTTACATTTAACTAACATTTAAATATTGACAAAAACATACTATTATCATATTATCGATTCAAATTATGTTCCAACTAGAAAAACACAGAAGATAGAAAGGCAACTGGAAGGAAAAAGATCTGAGCATTTCCTGCGTGCACATAATACTTTTTTAAAGATTTCATATTTAAAATTTAGATAACAGATCACCTAGAAAGTGTTTCAAAAAAAAAAGTGTTTCAAAAAAAAAAAAGTGTTTCAAAAAAAAAAAAAAAAAAAGATCACCTAGAAACAGAATGACATTGAAAAGTAAAGAAAAAGGGCGGGGGGGGGGGTTCCGAGAAACAGAGTACAAAAGGAAAATGATCCACCTTGAGCCTGAAGTAAAACAAGGGAAGATCAAACAAAGAGGACATAAGAGAAGGTATGATGTCCCAGACCAGGTGCTTTTACGGATTTATAAAAAGAAGAGGAAACAAGAGCTCGTGCTGAAGTGATGGAAGGCGGCTCACGTGGAGTAAGTCTTGGCAAAGTAAAGCAAGACTAAGAGCATCTTCAACCCTTGTTGCTTAGAGAGTTGCTTAGGGGGAGAAGGTTGCTTATTTTGAAGAGAGAGAGTGTGAAAAGTGCTTAATTTAAGCACTTTTCACTCTCTCTCTTCAAAATAAGCAACCTTCTCCCCCTAAGCAACTCTCTAAGCAACAAGAGTTAAAGATGCTCTTAAGGGAGGTGAGGTTTTTTTTCTGTTGTCATTTACAACTAAAGAGAAGATAGAGAAAAGAGACTGAGCATATACATAAAGTAGCCTTAAAAGAAAAATCACATCAAGTAGTACAGACAGAACAAGAGGAATGAATAATAACATGAAAATACATTGATATATTTATACACAAGTACATGTACAAAGAAAATTGTATTCATATTCCACTTGAATCAATGTAAGCATTTGTACTCCATATAAAAAAATCATTAAAGGCCAAAAACACTTAACTTACTTTTGTTTCATCAAACTACAATGGCACTGGAGGCTTTTCCAACCACTTGGCACGAAACCCAGTTCCCTTGCAATCGCTACAGCAAGCCGAACCCTTAAAAACAACAAAAGAAAAATCGAATATTCAGACTTGTAAGGAAATATTAACAGAAACACCGCAAGTACTTTTGGTCGGACAGAGAAAAACGATTAACTAACCTTGCCGGAGCAGATAACACAAGAAGTATTCCTAGAAGGAACCTGGCAAAGCATATTATCACCGAGGATGAAGAATCCTGTACCCGCACACCACTTGCATTCAACATGACCATTAGAATTGCACGATGAACACCCAACAGGTCTTGGTTGCTGCAATGAACACAGAAAAAAAAAACAAATCATTAATTAAAAACAACACAGTCCTCCTTGTATCATCTAGCAAACATGAGCGGATCTACTTCATGAATGTTGTTTGAAATATTCATCACCTAACAGTAAACTTGATCGATGTGAAAATTCACAGATCCAAATCTCCTCAATCAAAATTAGGAGGTATAAGAGGAGGACGAACCTGAGAGATAAGCCAGGCTTGTTCCATACGTTTAGCGAAATTGGAGGAGCTCTCGGGGGAATCAACCGCTGATGATGCCCTGACGGTGGAGGGAAAGCGGCGAATCGTGGTTGAATTCGGACTGATCGTTACAAAACCTAGTTTTGTTCTTCTTGGAGATATCCATGGATTGACTATTGATTTCGGCACAATATGTGACTCGCAACACATGCAAATCGCCATTTATCTTCTTCTTCTGCGTTGCCGATAGGTTTGAATAATTCACCTGAAATTAAAAAGACTTCAAATTCGCAATTGGAGGACGGTTGAGGAGGAGAAATGTCTTGGGAATTGTGTTACTGGACCCTGGTCCCACAAATTACACATAGCCCGGTTCTGTCTTGCTTGTTTTCGATCCAATCAAACCGGTAGCAAAATCCCGGTTGAGACAGCAAAAGATTACTACTACGTATTAGTTAGTACCCAATCGCGATCAGACAAATTTTCAAAGGACGTTGGTTACGGATTTTGCTGATGCTAACCTTCTTATATTGGTATGGAGTTAAAAGTCAAGTGAACACTCTACAAGAAAGGTTTTTTTTTTTTTTTTTTTTAAATTGAAATTTAAATTTATTCTTCCCGAATAAATGGGGATTCAGATTCGTTTACAAGCCCAATTTGAACAAAATTTCTCAATTCTAAGTATTACAACCATAGCTTCGCCCAAAATTTCATAGGTCGTTTTTAATATCCTTAGGAATCGATCGCCGTTCTCAACCGTCAACGATGACCAAAGGAAAGTGAGGTTCTCCTCGTTGCCTCGGATGCCGGGAGTTCCTATGTCGCCTCCAGAGTAACTAGCTACCGATGAACGCCTCAAAACTTATAAACGTCACTGTTCATGAAGTACTAGACAAGCATGAGAGGAAGGTTATCCTTACTGAAAAATCTGAGAAACCAGCTATACAACCTCCAATGCCGCCACGAACCAAGCAAAAACCGAGATGACCAAACCGCCACACCCTGCCTAGAGTACTCGAAAACTTGCAAGGAAAGACCTAGAACACCACCACAACAAATCAAGCAAACTATTGCGGGTTAGGTGAACTAAGACCAAATGTTGACACGGAGACGGTCAATGACTCTCCCGAGAACCATCTCCACATTTGAGATTTCTGAGAACCAAAGATCAAAATCCAAGCTGTGAAACCCATGAACCGGTGTCAACGGACATAGAAAGCAATGAAGCAAAGAGTACAGCCAAGCGTTAAGAGGCCTCTTAGCCCCCGGAAGAACTGGGATAAGTGTCTTGATTAGAAGATCAGAGATGACGAAGCGAGACCCGCAGCCTCCAAAGGCCATAGACGACCTTCGAAATCCACCGGTGAACGGAGAATACATCTACGAGCTACGCCACACGAGCCTGAGGAGAACCCGGCACCAAAACCACTAACGAACCAGGCTGCCAAAGACCCGCCTCTGAGTGCAAAACCACAAGAGACCACCTAACTAACGAGAAACAGAACCGGACCTCTCCGACACCGAAAAGAGCACGAACTCTAAACCCGAGAAGAAGACTGGAACCACAACCCTAGAGCGGCGGAGACCACCACGAGACAGGACGGAGCTACATCCCTTCACTTCAAGCCAACGACGAAGAGGAACAGTAGATCTGAGATCTGAAAACCGATCTACTCATATCTCAAAAGCCGACTCCTCCTTGAACCACCTCTTCACGAACCTCACCGAAGCTCCAGAGCAGCTGAAACGTCACCGGTGACCAGCCCTTCGCGAGCAGAGCCTCTACAAGAAAGTTGATTCAAGAAGATCAGCAAATCAGATCCATTATCTAATTGTTAACTTGGGTTAAAGGATAATAAACCTTGCGGAAGTAAAGTTTCACTACGTTGAGTTCTACTCAGCTCTATTTGGAGGTCAAACCAACCATATTTCAAAGTTAGAATCTGCCTAAATCAGATGCTACACAACATTTAGATGCAGCACTATGATAGAAGAGTAAACATATCCAAAGAATACTTAATTGATAGAGAAGAAGGATTACAAACGGTAAGGATCACGATCTCATGTCGACCACCACCAAGCTCATAGCGCCATGGTCAAACCGTTCATATATCGCATAACCACCAAAGGATGATGAACTCTTCTCTTTATACTCTTAACTGCAAACCTTCTCTTTCATCCCAAAGCTCTCCTTCGCTTCCTTCCATTAAGTCTCCACGTCAGCTTACTTACTAGGGTGATACCTATCACACTACTGCCAATGACATCCTCCTTGCCACAGTTACAGCTGAGGATATGGGAATGATTTATTTATTTTTTTGTTAAATGATAAATATCATTCAAGAACGAAAGTTTGATTACAAAAGCGGTTTTGTAGTTCTTCCAAGAGTTGTTTACACCATAGGTCACTTTTAAGATTTTATTAACACTCTCGGTCACTTACAACTACTAAGGTAGTTTCTGGCTTGTCAATTACATTTTTACCCCCAACTATAGCAAACTAAACGTTTATGTGGTTTATAACCAATTTTGTTTTTCCTTTTTATACTGTTGCGCTTTCTCTTTCTTCTTTATCACTTGTTTTAAACTCAGTGATCTTCAATTAATCAGACCAGAGAAAAATAAAGAGAGTTATATATGTAATTGTTTTCAAAGGAAAATTAGATTTCAAATTTGATTGCAGAGCGTGATTAATCTAAACTAATGAAATCGAAAATGGTATTCAAGAAGAAGCTCTTCTTCTCACCGAAGAAATTCAGATATTAAAGTCCGATAGTTCCAATACTTCAAGAATTTGTTGGCCTCTGAATCAGACATGAATAAGCATGAATCCTCTTCGTAGAACGAAACCCCAATCCCTAATCTGAGCGGCCACTTCAGTTTGCTTCACCCGGCTAAGATGAACGGCAGCCCCTCTAGTTTCTGTATGTATAGAAACCACTATCTTTCTTTTGCTCGATTAATTTTCTTCTCTAGATTCTCAATCGAGCTATTTCCTTTTTTTTTTATTGATTTCCAGGTATTTGAATTTTTGTCAAATTTCCAGATAATGCTCCGATAACGAACGCCTTTGTCATCACGAGTACTTGAGCGTGATTCGTTGAATCCGTAGGTAGTGCTTGGTTTTAGTTTATGATAAGGGCGTGATTTGTTGATTGTGATTTGAATCTTTTCTTGTGTGGATCCTTGAGCTGCTGTGGTTCAAACCATTTAATTTAGAGGAGACACAGTTTCAGACACATGTTGTGGTTTGCAGTGACAGAAAAATGATGTAAAAAGACTGTTTTTATTGGTTAAAAAGAAGAAATTACTTGCACATGATACCCATAACAGGATCCACTGATTAGTGGCTAGGCAGAATAATTTAGATAGAATTTGAATGAGAACCCGCTTGTTAGGAAATGTGAGCAAGAAAGAATGACGTCAATGGATGGTATATGGATGTGGACACATTATAGTGCATATAGGTTAAGTTATCGTAGAAGAACCACAATAGTGTACACATGGATAGTTCGTTTAAGAACCTCATTAGTGTACACATGTACATGTGTTTACGTGTACACGTAGACACGGTGTACACATGTACATGTGTTGACGTGTACACGTAGACACAGTATACACATAGACATAGTGGACAAGTGTTGACGGTGTACACATAAACAAGTATTGATGGTGTACACGTGGACATGTCTAGATGGTGTACACATGGACATAGTGGTGCTAACATTTTAAACATTTTTTTGTGGATTACTGTATTAAGCCGTAATTATTTGGAAAGGATCAGGTTGTCTGAGATATGTTATGATTATTTCGACATGAACAATTATAAGTGGATTGCTTTGTTGAACATGCTTTTGTCAAAAACAAAACTTTTCTTGCCAAAACCACATGTACAATATAGTCTACGTGTACATGTTTGCAACACAATTTTGGTACATATGTGTACATTGAAAGTTTAAAATAAGCATGAACACATTTCTCTGAAACAGAAAAACAAACAGAACCAAAATGCAAGATTTAGTTTTGATCTTATCAAATATCCGAATGGATTTTATATCTTTAAATCAAAAACTCATTTAAATGCAGAGACCAGTTCAGCCGACAGTGACAAAATACTAACGTCATTGAAAATTTTTGACTATTTAAAAATGTTTTAGTTCTCGTTAGAACCACAAGTGAATCCACAAATCTAGTGGAGAGAAATATTTCGCAAGCAGATTTAACATTATTAATGAGTACACAATCTTGAAGTATATGTGTACATTATATGTATATATGTGCATCTTATCTTATAGTGTACATGTTTACACATATACATGTTATTTAAATTTAGATGGTATATGGATGTGGACACATTATAGTGCATATAGGTTAAGTTATCGTAGAAGAACCACAATAGTGTACACATGGACATGTGTTGACGTGTACATGTAGACACAGTGTAATCATAGACATAGTGGACAAGTGTTGATGGTGTACACATGAACATGTATTGATGGTGCACACGTGGACATGTGTAGACGGTGTACACATGGACATAGTGGTGTTAACATTTTAAACATTTTTTTGTGGATTACTGTATTGAGCCGTAAACAATATTATTTGGAAAGGATCAGGTTGTCTGAGATATGGTATGATTATTTCGACATGAACAATTATAAGCGGATTGCTTTGTTGAACATGCTTTTGTCAAGAACAAAACTTTTCTTGCCAAAACCACATGTACAATATAGTCTGCATGTACCTGTTTGCAACACACTTTTGGTACATATGAGTACATTGAAAGTTTAAAATAGGCATGAACACAATTCTCTGATACATAAAAACAAACAGAACCAAAAATGCAAGATTTGGTTTTGATCTTATCAAATATCCGAACGGATTTTATATCTTTAAAATCAAAAACCCATTTAAATACAGAGACCAGTTCAGCCAACAGTGACAAAATATCAACTTCACTGAAATTTTTTGACTATTTAAAAAAGTTTTAGTTCTCGTTAGAACCACATGTGAATCCACAAATATAGTGGAGAACAATATTTCGAAAGCAGATTTAACATTATTAATGAGTACACAATCTTCAAGTATATGTGTACATTATATGTTCTTATCTTATAGTGTACATGTGTACACATATACATGTTATTTAAATTTAGATGGTATGTGGATGTGGACACATTATAATGCATATAGGTTAAGTTATCGTAGAAGAACCACAATAGTGTACACATGGGTAGTTCGTTTAAGAACCTCATTAGTGTACACATGGACATGTGTTGATGTGTACACGTAGACACAATGTAATCATAGACATAGTGGACAAGTGTTGATGGTGTACACATGAACACGTATTGATGGTGCACACGTGGACATGTCTAGATGGTGTACACATGGACATAATGATGTTAACATTTTAAACATTTTTTTGGATTATTGTATTGAGCCGTAAACAATATTATTTGGAAAGGATCAGGTTGTCTGAGATATGGTATGATTATTTCGACATGAACAATTATAAGTGGATTGCTTTGTTGAACATGATTTTGTCAAGAACAAAACTTTTCTTGCCAAAACCACATGTACAATATAGTCTACGTGTACATGTTTACAACACACTTTTGGTACATATGTGTACATTGAAAGTTTAAAATAGGCATGAACACATTTCCTTGAAACAGAAAAAAAAACAGAACCAAAATGCAAGATTTGGTTTTGATCTTATCAAATATCCTAATGAATTTTATATCTTTAAAATCAAAAATCATTTAAATGCAGAGACCAGTTCAGCCGACAGTGACAAAATACCAACGTCATTGAAAATTTTCGACTATTTAAAATTTTCTTAGTTCTCGTTAGAACCACATGTGAGTCCACAAATCTAGTGGAGAGCAATATTTCGCAACCAGATATAACATTATTAATGAGTACACAATCTTGTAGTATATGTGTACATTATATGTATATATAGGCATCTTATCTTATAGTGTACATGTGTACACATATACATGTTATTTAAATTTAGATACTTGTGGCATAATTACATTATAGTATAATCGAATATTTTTGAATGTTCATAAATAACTACACAGTTAAAGAGTTTTAGGGAAATAAACACTATTTTCATCAACTCGTATTTTCTTCAACTCATATGTACAATTTATTTTGTCTTAATATTTGTGAGCTTTCTATTTGCAATTGATATCTCATAATTTAAAGAATTTAACACTTAATTTGATTTATTTAAATCATTTTAAGATGTATTTAGATGTCTTTAGTACATATTTGTGTTCATTTGCATATAATAGGGCTAAAATGCATCTTTTAAAAGTTTAGGACGAATCAGATAGAAATCTACACATTAGAAAACATTTGAGGCAATATCCCAATTAACCACAAGTATTGGGACCATTTATGAAATTGTAAAGAAGTTGGGTTAGAGAGTTTGATCGATCACCGTAACCTAGATTCTTGGTACAGCTGCGACAGAGCATGAAACTGGCGGAGCTTCAACGGCGACATGGTAGACGGCTTGGACAGTTCTCTCACCGTGGCTTGGGCTTTGATTACGACGGAGAGGAGCTTCAACGGAAAACTGAGAATCACGACGGCGAGTCCGAAGCTTCTTTCCGGGGGCCACAACGGTCTTCATGTTGTACATGAACAGAATCCTGGGGAGAGGAGATCATGGAGTGGCGGTCAGAATCGAGCTCAGCCACGTTGGCTTGGGCTTTGATTGTGGCGGAGAGGAGCTTCAACGGCGAGATTTCAAAAATCCAACTACATCTTCGAGTTCTGATCCAACGGAGAGGGCTTACAAAACGTAAAATTCAAAATCAATAGTTTAAAACTATATTTCAAAACCAAATCAAAATCTTAATCGTCTCTTTCTCTTGGTCACCACTGTAAAGAAGTTTAGAAAGCAAAAACCAGAATGTCTCCGGCCTTAGAGCAACCTCTACATCAACATGGTCCATTGCTCCACCATCAACTCAACCATGGAATCTAACGTTCAGCTCTTTCTTCTCAAGGTCAACATCTTGGTAGACTAAGCTTTGGCTTGAGAGAACAAAAAAATAAAGAAAGAAAAAGAGGAAAAAAATATATTGAAAGGTTAAGTGTTTTGTTTGTAAATAATGTATTAGTTAGATTCTAACTTAATTGGTTGAGCGTTCATTGTTAAAAAAAAAAGGGTAATATCGGGTTTTGTTGGGTTGGGGAAAGGGAAAGTTACATTGGAAGAATGAAAATGTGTGTAAGGAGTTGAAAGTGTCTTACCATGTAATATTAAACACAAAAACTGACCCTGGATGTAATTGTTTCTTCTTCCAATCAGGCTAACTTCTTAAACAGTGGAATTGTACTACGATGTCCCTCAACCCCAAGAAGACAGGAGCTGCTAAACTAGTGGATTTTCGGCCTATATCAATATGCAACATCCTCTACAAGGTAACCTATAAGATTCTAATCAAAAGGTATTTCCTCTAATATCTCTTCACCTGCTTAGAGTATTTTCAACCCATTATTATTTTCGCCTCTAATAGCAATTAGAGATAAATTTATTTCATCTCATTACTCGTTTATTTCCAAGAATAAACTACAAAATACATTATATACCGAATTTTTTATTTGAATTGACTATTCTAAAACGAAACAAAAAGTGTATTTACTAAAAATGATTCGGAAGTGATGTAAAAATTGATTTTAAGGTAAATTTTTTATAGTGGAATAAAAATGGTATTCCACTACAATAATAAAGTAAAACGACTATTAACTCTTACCCAAACAAAAATATTATTCCACTAAAAATTATTCGAAGTTTCTCAGTCGAATAATAATGCCATTTTCCACTATAAAGACACCTCCCACCTTATCCCATTCTCTCACTCTTACCATTTGGATCTTTCCAGAAAAATTCGATTCCGTGAGAGAGAAAAAAAACATGGAGTTCACGGCAGAGCAGCTTAGCCAATACAACGGCACCGACTCATCGAAGCCGATCTACGTAGCGATCAAGGGCCGAGTATTCGACGTCACCACCGGCAAATCCTTCTACGGTCCCGGAGGCGATTACGCGATATTCGCGGGAAAAGACGCGAGCAGAGCCTTGGGGAAGATGAGCAAGAACGAAGAAGACGTCTCTCCTTCTCTCGAAGGTCTCACGGAGAAAGAGATGAACACTCTTAATGATTGGGAGAAGAAGTTTGAAGCTAAGTATCCCGTCGTTGGCCGCGTTATCTCCTAATCTCAAATCAAATCAAATCCGATCTCTGGTTTGTGTTTTTCTTGTTTGGTCTGATCGTTTGATGAAGATTCGAAACTAATAATGTAATAAATTGGTGTGTTTTTACTCTTTAATCCTTGGAGGCTACTTAATGAATAAGGATGTTTATTTTCATAGTTACATTAAAGAGTCACAAAACTTCTGCATATAATCTCTAACTTGATTACCACACTATTCTATTTAAACGTTATCTCGAAGGAGGACGAAGCTTCCTCACAAGCCATTTCCTTCTTAAAGAGACGTCCAAAGCCAAGAACGTCTTTGCTTTCTTCTCATCTTCCAAAAGATCACAAGCATCCAGTAGAAGCTCATCATCCATCTCTGGTAAAGCTTGTAGTGCATCGATTGCGTTATGCATTCTCGTGTAATCATCACCTTCTGTCTCACAAAGAGGCTTCCTCATCATCTCTACTCCCGTCTTCTGAGCCTTGCGTCCGAGATATGGAGTTTGGTTGGTTCTCTTACTATGCTGCTGCTGCTGCTTGTGTGTAGAAGAACTAAAGTCATCATCAACTATATCAATCTCATGGCCATAGTTATCCAACTCGATCATGAGATTCTCGCAGTTGAATCCTTCGTGTGAGAGATGTTCATATAGCTTGCACAAGTCAACATAACTATCCAATGTTTTACCTTTATATATTGTTGCATCTGGATGTTCCTGCCAAAATTCAGACACTAACCTCTTTAAATCAAAATACCTTGTAAGAAAACATCTACTGTTCAAAAATCTGTCTGGATCTTTTTTTAAACTGTTTTAATAAAAGAAAAGAAAATGGTGCTCGCCTAAGCAATAATCCTTTATAAAATGTCTATTCACTACCTAGCTATTTTTATAACATTGAAAACATCCCTATAGTGTTTATTAGATTAGCCTCCTTTACCTTAATATAAGCTTCCCAATGTTCATCTTCTGCAACAATAATTTGCTTCTCTCCATCCCAAACAAAGCCATCAAGATTAAGGATGTTGTTGATGTCATCACGCTCTTTCATCATCAATATGTAACGATTCTCCAACGTAAACATGTCAGCCTGCAAACCGAACTTTGCATTGAAGGATTCCGCCATTTCTGCCCACGCTTGTTCTGTGAATGTCTCACCAACCTTGTTTCCTCTGTTCACCTGCTCAAGCATAAGATCAATAAGACATCGGTCCATGACCGGTGTCCAAGTAGGACCACTACTGCTGCTACAGAGGTAATCATCTTTCTCTACGCCGGCATGCACCACCATCTGGAATGTGTCTTTGTATCCATCTTCGCTTTCACTTTCTGCCAATGGATTCATATAAATAAGAACACAAAGGAACACTTCTAATACTTAGAATATAGCAAATATAAAGAGAAGCTTTTACCGTTTATACGCACAGTTTCTGCTGGAGTGGGATCCAAAGCTTGAGCCAAGCGTGTGTATCTCCCATCAGACATTTCTTTACCGAAAATAAAGCAAAGATTTGGGTAGATTGGAATAGTTTTGACTCTATATGGTCGAGCTTCTGGATGTGCCTGCACACGTTTCATTTTGATTATATTATACCACACAACTATATAATTGATAGATTTAAAGGGGGAAAGAATGTTGCAAACCTTTATATATAGAGACCAAACGCCATCATCTGCAACCACCATGTCTCTCCTTGCATCCCATGAGAAACCGTTCTGCTCGAGAAGAAGCTTGATGTCACTGTACAACCTCCTCAAGTGTTTGTACCGGTTCTTCAGAACGTCTTTGCTGTGTTGAGACTCGAATTTGGTATTAAATGATGTAATCATTTCGTTCCAAGCACTTGTTATGAAAGTCTGCCCAACTCTGTTCCCTTTGTTCACTTGGTCATATAACAAATCGATCAGATAGTTGTCCATTGGCGGGGTCCAAAACGTCCTTGTACGATCACAACTCTGCGCCTGGCTCGCCTTAGTCTCATCACCTTTGACATCTTCGCCTTGGACTGGATTAGCAAATATTAGTTCCAAGTCGTTGTAGCTCGGTAATGATCTCATCCTATATGTTCTTGCAAGCGGATGCTCCTGCTTTTCATCACATCTAGATTTCAGATCAAAAGATTTAATTTATTATAAGAGTAAGAGTTTTAAACCTTGATGTAAGAGTTCCAAACGGCATCATCCGCAGCTATCATTTGCAGAGTTTCATCCCACGAAAACCCGTCTTGTTTCAAGATAGTTCCCATGTCCTTGTAGTATTTAGACAACTTGTTGTACCTATGTCTTAAAACTCTTTTCCCATACTGACCACTGAACCTAGCATTGAACAAAGCTAACATATCTGTCCACGCTTGTTTACTGAAAGCATTACCAGTCTTGTTACCTCTTCCCATTTGATCAAGCATAAGGCTGATGAAGTATTGGTCCATTACCGGAGTCCACTCGGTTTTCGAGGTTTCTTTACTCGACATAACAAGACTTCCACTACTACTTTCACCTACACAACATAGGAATTCATCACTCACTGTAATTTTATACAAAGAGAACTTGTAGTAGAAAGAAATGAAAAGCAACTAAATACCAAACTACCTAACCGCTACATGGATATCTAATTCCCATTGGGGTCTGTGTGCGCAGGTGTACAGCCCCAGGGAACTAGTCCATTGGGCCTACCCAAGTTATCAAAAATACAAAAAAAAACTAAGCCCTACAGAAAAAAATCACTAAACCAAGAGACCCTACTACATCCACCTACAGACAAAACACAGTTTGTAACCAAATCAAGAAAATGCAAGAACACACCAATGTTAACTCCACTGATCTCATCTTCAAACTCAACATCATGGCTTGACCTACTATACCTCCCATCAGCAACCGTATACCCATAAATCAAACACAGCTCATTAAAATTCAACACAGGCTTCGTCTTGTATACACGCGCCTCAGGACGAGACTTGAGATAACAGCTCCACAGACTCTCATCTCCAACAACCATCTCACGAGTCTGGTCCCAAGAGAACCCTCCGTGATCAAGAAGGCTCTTGACGTCGTTGTACTGTTTCCAAAGAGTCCTGTACCGGACCTTCAACACGTCTTTGTCGTACTGTGACTCGAACTTGGAGTTGAAAACGGAGAGCATGTCGTTCCAGGCTTGCTTGTTGAAAGTGTGGCCTGTTCTGTTGCCTCTGTGGAGATGGTCGAGCATTAGATCTATGAAGAAACGCTCCATCGTTGGTGTCCAGTAAGTTCTCGTTCGGTCGTTACAAGAGGTTTGACCGCTCATGTTAGCTGAGAAGCAGTGACCAGTGTGTATGTGTGTGTGTGTGTGAATTTATAGGTAGCGGTTATAGATGCGCGCGGCGGAGAGAGAGAGAGATTGGGCGGAGTTTGGGAGAGAGATTAACCCTAATCCCGAATTATTTCTGTTTGGCTCTCTCTCTGTCTCTTCTCTGGCTTATCTTATCAGCTTCTATGTTTGGGCTTAGCCTTTTCGTTTTATTAAGGCCCTATTGGTTTGAAGAATAAACACATTTTTTGATCAATGAGTCAATGACCAAGTCACTGTTACTCTGTTAGTACTTACAAAGTTAAAATCCAATCCAAACTTTTATACTATTATTCGAGAAACTAATCCAGTAGTTAAACTCTTCATGATTAAACATTCATCAAGTCAATACTTACAATCTAACTAGCTGCATAACCCCCGCGCAAGCGCGGGGCCGGGATCTATATTTTGTTCGGTTGTTGGTTTAGTGGGTTATTCTAATAATACCAAATAATGATGAAATGGAAAGAATGTAGCAAGAGTGCAAAGTGAAAATATTGTATATATAATGTGTTAAATGTTATTTATATGCGAAATAAGGTTTATAGGAATAACTAAATTATAATATAGTTTTTAGTGTATAAAAATAGATGTCTATATTGTTTTTTTTATGTTGGAAATAGGTTTTATATCGGATGTCAAAACTTGATATAAATATTTATTTATAATATTTATATTTGTACTAAACGATTTATCAATTTGAAAATAACTTTAATTTAAGCTAATATTTGTTGTTTGGGTTTCAATAGATAGGTCTGGATATGTTTTTTTGTAAGTTTGGATTTTGTTCATGAATAATATGTTTTTTTTTCTTTACGGCGTCATCGACTGTGGAAATCCATCCGCCGGAGTCTGATAAAAATGAAATTATAGTAACTATTAAAAATTGAAGAGAAATTATATAGTTATTTTATAAATAACAAAACTATTTATTTTATTTTATTACACATACATAATTTTTTGAAAATATATATTAGGAAATATGTTATAACAGTAAAAATATATATTAGGACATGATAGTGCCGCGTGAGACTCGTTTTTTTTTTTTTTGGATATTCGTTTTTTGATTTATTTTTAATTGTTATATATTAGGACATGATAGTGCCGCGTGAGACTCGTTTTTTTTTTTTTTTTTTGATATTCGTTGTTTGATCCATTTTTAATTGTTTTTGGGTTTGAGTTCGT